GTATGGTGCAGGAGAGGCTCACACTGAAGTTCTGGGTAGTAAAATCACCCCTTCCCTCCTTTTTTTCCACTTCTTATCAGTTTTATGGAGTTATAAACCAACCCCGGACAAAGACTCCAATGACTTCTCAGCTTTTTCAAAGTTCTTTTTTTTTTTTTTAGCATTTTTTTTTTTAAGAAGCATGTTTTTTATTTATTTGTTTTGTTTGTTTGTTTTGTTTATACATGCACTGGGTACAGTCAGAAGCGCGGGAGGGTGAGAGAATTCACCAGAGCCAGAGCGGGGAGCAGAGCAGGCAGAAGGACCGAAGTACACTGCTGAGGGGAGCAGCGGGCGGCAGGAGAGGTCTGCGCGCCATGTGGGACCCTCCTCTGGTGGCTGGGAGCAGCCGGGGATTGAACCAGCGCCGCGGAAGCCGCGGGCAGCCTCGCAACCCAGCGCTCAACTGCTGCGCCACCAGGGAGGCCCAGCTTTTTCAAAGTTCTTATCACAGACTAAAGATCCTAAATGAGTTGGCCTCCTACCACTCTACCACACTTGCCCTTTTTCACTCTATACCAGGCACAGTGACCTCTTTGCTGTTCCTGGAATAAGCCAGCACATCACATCCCAGGCTCTTTGCATTTGCTGTTCCTCTGCTTGGAAAGCTCTTCTCTAACAGACTTACCCACTCACCCACTCACTGCCTTCAGGCCTTTGCTCAAATGTTCCCTTAACAAAGAAGCTTTCTCTGGGCATCCTACATGAATTAGATACCTCCCTCCTTTGCTCAAGTTTTCTTCCCAGCGTTTCATCACCACATAACATACTAATTATCTGTTTGTTTCTTGTCTTTCCCCTGTTGAATGTAACAGTTTGTTCACTACTGCATTCCTAAAGCCTAAAACAGTGTCTGGCACATGTACGAATTCAATAAATATTTGTGGAATGAGTGAATGAATGACTAAATCTGATGAGAGTAGAGGTTTTGATGATTCTTTTGCATTGATATGTACTCTACAGAGTGAATATTTGTTATGTTTATCAACACTGTCTCTAAATTCAGTCCATTTTCTGATCATCTTGTTTCATCAGTGCAAGGGCCCTCCTCCATGTTGGGCTACGAGTCAGGCTATTCCTGGAAGGACTGCTAGAAAAAGGCCAGGTCAGCAGAGTGATACTCAAGCTAGTGCCCTGGGTCCCTGATGCCAGATAAGAGGATTAGGGCATTTCTGGAACTTCTACAGTGATCACCCACTTACTTGATTTCCCCTGGAAGGACACCCAAGGTTGCTTTCCTCTCTGTGGATAAAGAGGGAAGAGGCAGATTAGTCAAGGCTCTCCAAAGCAGCAGAACTGATAGGACACCCCCACTCCCCATACACGTGTGTGCTCATGAATCTATAAATCTCTATCTATATCATATCTAGAGAGGTACTAGAAGACTGGATGGAGTGCGGAGTGTAGACTGGAGAAGGGCAAGACTGGAGAGGGCGAGTAGGTTAGGAGTATGAATGGGAGATGAGAGAGGGGCAGATTTGAAGGAATGAAAATTGAGCGAACAAGCTACATGATCATCGCCTCAGTAGAACAGATGGAGAGGCTATTTTGAAAACACAGAGGTGGGCAAAGGAGGTTTTGGGGGCTTGGAGGAAAACGCAAGGATAGATGGTCAGAGAGTGGGCTGGATGAGGGTCTGGAGGAAGTTCTAGATGGTAGATGGGAGAGTGTGACTCTGCAATGGGGCAAAACTGCTTGTAAATGACCCTCCTGCAGTTGTCACTGGCAAAGGGATTGGGGATGAGCAAGAACGGGTGTGGAAGTCAAGAAAGCCAAAGGTGCATGCATGGATAACCTGCACTGGGAGGACGGGGAGAGAGAGGTCCAGACCTACTGGTCCCCAAAGGCTCAAGGTAGGCCAAGAAGAAGCAGGGAAATAGGAGGTTGGACTGGTGGCTGTGTTCTCATGGGTGGGGGCAGGAGGGCTCGTGGTTGGGGGTGGATCCAGAGCCCTTGGAAGTGGCAGGTGGTGCCTCTGCCTATTCTCTTTCCTGGGCCAGGACACCGCTGCCTCCACACATCTTTCAGAGGCAGCTTAAAAGGCTCTGCTTCCCTCTGCTTCACCTCCTCCTCTGCTGTGCCCCTGGGTGCCTGGGCTTGCCTCCCTGTTGCACTTCTCAGGCTACACTGAAGGCGAGGGGATTCTACTCCCATTCCCCATGCCCCCACCATGAGCGTGTGATATCTTGGAAGACAGGTTTGTATCTTGCTCATCTGCCAAGCTCTGAGCCTGGCACAGCTAGTTGCAGTCCCCTGCGGGTATTGAATAACCATGTCCTGAAATGGAGCACCGCCCGAAAGTAAGGGGAGGACGAGCGGTGGGAGGTTGGGTGGGGGTCTCCTGTCCTTCATTCTTGCTTTTCCTCTTCCTTTTTTCCTGCCTTCCTAACTCTTCACATTCACTGAAAAGTCCCTTCAGGCTCTTCCACTCTGTTCTAAGGAAAGATGATAGATCTACAGGAGATGATGGCCTCAGATGCAAGGGCCCAGGCAGCCTCAGAGGCACAGCACAGCAGCACGTTGGAGCTCACCCTAGTCTGCAGCAGGTGGGACTGAGGTTCATCCAGGTGGCGGGCTGCGGAGCTTCTCGAGGCCAGTGGAGGAACAACAGGGGGCGACTATCTCCCAGGTGTGGACCATGGGCCTCCAGCCCTCCACCCCAGGAGATCCAGGACTGGTCAGAGAGCTCAATATCTCAGATGGAGAAACAGACCCAGAGAGGGCAAAGGTGTTGATGTCGCAAAGAGAGTTCCTGGGACTCAGAACAGATACCTGAGGGCTTGACCTGCCACTCCTGGGCTGTGTGATTAAGTGCCAGGTGCAATCCTAGTTTTCACTTGTATAAGATAGGGAATATAAGAAGATAATTAAATGTGAAATTGTGATGAAAAGATTTTTTTTTTTTACATAGTCCTGATAGAAGCTGGGCAGTCTCCAGGACTTATATTTCCTGATTTCCAGTCTAACTTTTTGCATCTATCAGACACATCTGACATAGCTAAAGGGGAGAAGATCCTGTTGGAGTGGGCCACACTCTGAGCACAGTTAAGTTCTCAAACAATGGCTGGAAATGCCAGTGACTTGACTCTGCCTGGATGTTTTATGACATGGTGGGAGTGTGGTAGAGAGAAGATTGTGGGCAGCAATAAGGAATGAAGGCACTCCCTCCTAGTCCTATCAAAAGTCAATTATTTATTCAACAAATATTTGTTGCACACCTATTATGTATCTGGTTCTGTTGCAGGTACCAGAGGGTACAGTGGTGAGCCAGATAGCAAAGCTCATGTTCTCATAGAAATTCTGGACATTTTTTTTACTTCTGAATTCTTATTTTACCCTAGATTAGTTTCATGATCTCCTTAACCAGGGACCACTCTCTTCCTTTCGACCCTTATTCCCAGTCCCTGCCCTTTGATAATGACAGCTGTGGAAGAGCTCTGTGCCTAGGGTAAAATGCCAGGCTTAGCAGGAACAATGCCAAGGTCTTTGGAGGCCAGAGGCAAACTGTTTCCTCCCTCCTGATTCTCCCTAACCTTCCTCAAGTGTTTCACCTCTCTAAGGAGTGGCAAGCTCTGTACTTTGTCAGGCAAGGGCCTTATTCAGGTCAGGTTTAGCTGAGCTTGGGGTTGGCTCCCTCCTTATCCTTTCAGATAATTCAGTCTCACTTTAATTCCTCGGCCTCAACTTGAGGCGCCAGGTTGAGCCTTCCTGAAAATTCCCAGTCACTGGTTCTCTCTGATTGTGTCCAAGTTTCCAATCCCCAAATCCCTGCCTTTGCTTAGAGCTCAGGAGCCCAGGTCTAGAGCCCCTGAGAAATGAAGCGTTGGCTGATTATCTCCAGGGTTCCCAGGCAGTTCTGCTGAGATGAAGGCAGTCTGGACCCGAGGATGGGCAGAGGAGGCTGAAGTTTGGTCCTATTGCACCTATTAACTTGCTAGGTGATATAGAGCAAGTCACTTTCCATCTCTGGGCTCAGATTACTTGTTTGTTCACTTGTTTATTCATCCATCCAGCAAATCTTATGGCTACTCTCCATCCCCTCTGGATAAAGTCTCATGCCCTCAGCATGGCATTAAAGGCCTGTCACAGGAGCCACCTAGGAGTGAGCTGATGATGGTGTGTTGCTCCTGAACTGGCCTAGGGTTTCTGGACAGGGATGACTCTTGGATTTTTGGGTTCAACATAGTTAAAGAAGGAATAAGCGGGGACCTCCCACGTGGTGCAAGGGGTTAAGACGCAAACTATGAAGCTGTCCGCAGCCACTGCAGCATGAGTTTGATCCCTGGCTGGCCAGGGAGCATCCCACATGGCACAGAAGACCTCTCCTGTCTCGTCCTTTGCTCCCCTCAGCAGTGTATTTCAGTCAGTCTGCCTGTTCTGTTCTCCATTCTGTCTCTGGTGAATCCTCTCACCCCCTGCACCTCTGGCCTGTACCCCAGTTTTTGTATGCATAAATAAATAAATTTTTTTTTAAAAAAGAAGCAACAAGTTCTGGCTTTACTGGGATGTTCTCAGTTCCTGATTGTTTTGCATGGAACCCAGAAGTTCTCTCAGCCTCTGAAGGAGCCAATCTGTTTTAACTTTCAGAGGACAATCCCCATTCATTATGAATTGTATATTCATAATATACAATTGCATTATTTGACTCTCAAATAAGTTTTCAGATATCATTTGGCATGACATCATGACATAAGAAAATAGCAAAAGAACCATAAGGTGACAAATGTGCTAGGAACTAAAGGTTATAAGTAATCAAATTTTATATTTTTAGGTCTATAAAAAGGTGAGTGTGAAGTGAGCACCTGCATAAAGCCCAGAATTTGAGTCCCTTCAGGTGCCATTGTAGGGAGCTACTTCAACACTGGAACAAGACTATATTGCTATCATTCCTCCTTGTGCTTAGAACAGGCAGGCTGAGTAAGTAGCACCCCTGTGGGAAGGGCCGGAATAGGGTCTGTTACTGGGCACAACTTTAGATATCAGACACAGATATCCACAGTCAGTTCTGCTTCCTAGAAAACTTGCTTTGATTCTGCACCCCTCAATCCTTTTCTCCATATCCCCTTCTCCTCCCTTGTCACAATGTACAGTGGCTTTTTGGTTTTGCTCTGGGGGGTTTGCTGAAATCAGGACTTGGTACCTCAGGGTGGCGCTGTTGCACAGCTCTTGGACCTGTGTCCCGTCACTTGCGGATTCTCCTTGTTTGTGAATCGAATGAGGGAAAATGGCTTTGACTCTGGAATAGCTTGCTGGATAAGACCCCCGCCCCTCCCGTTGTCACTTGCTCGCAGAGTCCTGCTTCTGATGTAGTGTGGCGTAGCAGGGCTGGCTGCCTTGATTTCTTCTCTTCTTCCCCACACCCCTTACCTATTCATTAGGTGTCTTTTCTGTGTAATCAACAGACTGCTATTGTGGGTTCTCAGCTCTGCCTCCCCTCAGGGGCTGGCCAGGCTACGGGTGTTCCAGCAGGACATAGAACAGGGCTGGGCTCAGAGTGGGCCTTGATTGATTATGTTTGTTGGCTGGAATTGACTCAGTAGTTCATTAGTGAGATCTACCCAGGCCTAACTAGAGTCTGGGAACTTTGGCCAGTCCCTGCTGCCATGTCCTCAAGAACTGCACCCAGGGGCAGGTGGGACAGAGGCAAACCAAGGCTGAGAGGGGCAGAGATGAGGACAGGGACATGATCAGGGTGACAAAAAGGGGCTTTGTCAGGAACACTGATTTGGGGGAGGGGCACAGAGAAGCAAGCAGAGTGCAGGGGGAGTGAGGTCTGTGCCCCAACCCTGGTCCAAGTTTCCAACTGGGCCTCTGCCCTCTCAATGAGGAAGGAGAGGACTGTCTCTTGGGCTACTGCATTCATATTACAGCACATTTATTCAGGGTTTCAGGACAGCAGTTCCGGGAAATACAAACCCAAAGAGTTCCTTGTGTTGAATGAGGGACCATGCTACTGTAGGCAAAAAGGGTGGGGCTAGGCCTGCTTTATGCAAATGAGATTTTCAGTCAGTGCAGTTCCATTTGGCAGAAAGTCTGTGATTTGTTGAATTTAAATCCTGGGTGTTAACTTGCAGTGTGATTTCTTTTCTTCTTGGCTTCTTGCTTTCATTTCCTCTGTGCACTTCCCAAGAAGCCTGGGTGCCTGGAAGTGCCTGGGACCTGACTTTCAACAGCTTCCTGGCTCCCTGTACTTGTTACCCAGACTCAGGATGGCTCCATGCTCGTTTTCTCTTTTCTTTTATTTATCAGAAGCCAGCTGCTGTCTCCTAGGGACAACTAGGTGTCACGGAAGGTGTGTGAGAGTTCCTTCTACAACTTGAGATCCAGTTGTGGAGGTGTGGAGACCCAGGCTCTCACTTCCCTGGGTGGGAGTTTCAACTGTCAGGTTTCCTCTTCCGAGGACAACAGAGGATAACTGCTGTGGGAAAGGGCGAATTTGACTGGCAGGAGGGATTTCCCTGGGGACCAGTATTTTGTGGATTGACGCCTTAGAAAATTGGTGGGTGGGACCACACAGATCAGTCCTCTGTGGCACTGACCTGAGTTGTCTCTGCTGCTTTCATCTTCAACACAAAGGGCGGTGAGAGGACACCTAGCATCACACTGTGTCAGGCACCAGTAGGCTGCTCAGGGCCTCCTGCATGGAGCTGAGATGGGTGAGAAAGCAGATGACTTGTCAGGTGACAGATCCTTTAATAGAAAACTATACAAAAATGATACAGAGGGGTTCAGGAGGGCTGACTCCTTCTGGGGCTGAGGTTCTTGAGGACACCTTTCCAGAGCAAATGACACTTCTGCAGATGGTGGGTAGGGAGGCAGGAAGAAAGTAATTCCAAGCAGAAGGAACAGCATTTACAAAGGCATGGAGGTGAGAGAGAGAGGGAGAGAGAGCGCTCTCATCCAACCTTTAAGGTAGTCAGAAAACTTTGACACCGGCTTGAGAACACACACACACACACACACACACACACACACACACACACCTCTGTTTAAGAACTTCCCAGGGACCAACCATGTGGTGTATGCAGCATTGCGAAGGGGGCCTGAAAGGACAACATACTATTAGCTCCCACTAAAGTCTCTAGGAGAGGAGAGTGCTGGTTGTCATGTTATCATACAAATAAGGGGTAACCAGGGACCCCCCAAACTTGCACACTCTAAAGGTATATTCTGGCTGGCTGTGTGCACAAAGGTAAAGCACTTAGTATGAAAGAACTTTAATAAAATTAGTGTGCATAGAGAGGGAAGAGAAAAAAGGTATGTGTCCTAACAAAAGGCCCCAAATTACCTGTTCTCCTGTAGGTGAATGTCCAGCCAAATAGGGTTGGCTTGAAGCATAGTCGCTGAGGTCTGAAAACTTGCCACAAGTTTAAGGCACCTTCTGGCAGGGGGCCATGGGAAAGTGGTTCTGAAGCAGGTCCTAGGAAGCTGGGACTAAGGAGAAAAGATATCAAGATCATGCCCTTGGTATGCATGTGACCTTACCAGACTGCGGGGCTCTACACTCGCCCACCTTACCTCTACCTCTCCTCTGCCCAACTGCAGCCCCTCGAGAAAACCCTGGTGTATGAGAGAGGCTCAGAACAAGCTCTTGGGAGTGGCAGCATGGTAATGGCTGCCATAGGGGTTAGGTTCCGAAGGTCTGGTGGGTGTGGACCACCGGAAGGAATGTGCAGACTGGCTCCCACCTAACGCCTGTCCATTCTGGTCTCACAGTTTCTAAGACAACACTATAACACCGGTGATTCCTGATCCCAGTTTAGATATTGGAGTTGCTAAATAGCATCAAGATTTGACCTATTCCAAGAACAAACTGGTTGGGGATATTGGTTCCCATTTTGGCAGAATGGAGATTGAGCTTGCTGAAGTTTGAGACATTCTAAAGATGTTGAGAGCTCATGATTCTCTTGCCTCTTTCAAATTGGGATATGCGGGCCTCCCCTGGTGGCGCAGGTGGTTGAGTGCCGCGCTGTGAAGCTGTCCACAGCTTCTGCAGCGCCTGTTTGATCCCGGCTGGCCAGTGAGGGTCCCACATGGCGCTGCAGACCTCTCCTGTCGCACCTGCTGCTCCCCTCAGCAGTGTAATTCACCAGTCTGCCTGTTCTGTTCCCCGCTTTGTCTCTGGTGAATCCTTTCACCCTCCCGCACATCTGACCTGTGGTCAAGAACCTCCTGGTTCTTGTATAAATAAATAAATAAAATCTTAAAAAAAAAACCAAATTGGGATATGCAATGCTATACTAAGGATAAGCAAAGGTAGCTTAAAGAATAGCTTCCTAGAGCATCATTTTAATGTAAATTGTTTGTGGGGAACTACCCCCACTGATTTTTTATTAAAACAAACCTACACACTGAAATAGAACGCATAAATATTTAAGTAAATAGGGGCCCTGATAGAAAACTTGGACTTCTGAGGTATATTCAGCCCCTTAGGATTTGCATTCATTACTCTGCTCTAGGCACTGTCACTCTCCACACTTTACAAATGAGGAAAATGAGATCCAGAAAGGCAGGTCAAAGACTTGCCTAAGTGATACCACAAAATAAGAGGTGGGGGTGGGACTAGAACCCACATTCCTGAACTGCATTCACCATATTATCTACCATACCATGGTGAAGCTAGTTTCATCTTGTAGTACTTCGACTTCAGTAGTGCCTTGGAAATAACCACATTCCACCTGCCAAACTAGTCTGAACACTATGGAGGGAATGTGGGGCAGTGGAAAGAATTAGGGATTACAAGTCAAGACACTGTATTTTATCCCCTAGCAGTTCTTTCAGTTATAAAACTCTGCACCTTTAGGCCAATTGCCTATATCACCTGTACCTTACCTCCTTATCTGTAAAAAGACACTGTCTAACAATCTGCCTTTCTACAAAGGAGACATTACTTGCTTTTCCAGAACCACCAGACCGGCATCAAGCTCTTCCTGACCATACTAGATAGTCTCTGAGGAAGGGGCAGCTGGCCACCTTTGTGTGACAGTTGCCAAGGAAGACTGCATATGGCACTCGGGCAGGGTCTGGACAATCAGCATTCTACAGGATGCTTTGCACCTTTGTTGGGGATCATCTGGAGAGGTCAAGGCCAAAGTCACTCAAGCTGCTTAAGTCTGAGGATGTTTGTTGTGAGGACACAGGGACAATCTCACAGACTGGGTTTAGAAGAACTGCCTGGTCTTGGTCTGCAGCTGGCACCCAAAGCTACCCCCATTTCCCAGGGGTATCTCTGTTGCTTTCTTTTTCTTCTTGCCTCACCTGGCTTCCTCTGCATGCACACAGCCAATCTGGCTACAAGCCCAGCATGGGTGTAACCCACAGCTCCTCAGCCTGCTGCACAAAGAAAGTGCTGTTAGCTAGACTGGCTGCTGAGCTGGGGAGGGTGACTGGCATCTCATCATTCAATTCAATGTAAATTTTCTATTACATACCCCAGTATGTAAAGTGTTTTACCCCTGCTTTCAATATAGTGCTCACCTATATTGTGAACCAAGTATCTCTTATCCAATATCCTGGAGAAGTTGGGTAAATTTCTCCAAAGACTAAGTCATCTGCTTCCCACCAGGATAGTTGCCTGGCAGTGCAGTGTCAAGAAGGCTTCAACGCTTCCTGTTGCCCCATCCTCCTGTTTCCAGCACCACTTCTCATGTAGACTCAAATTCATAAGTCTTTTGGGGGTTAGTGGTTAGAAATTTGCTTGCTTCTTAATGGCATTTCCCCTTTGCAGGCATTTTGGCTTCAACTTTCTCTGCTTTGCTAAGTTAGTTACCATTATCCAATCTCTTACTTTTTCGAGGATTTACCTTGTCCTCTTTCACCTTTATGTCATTCTCTTTGTTATTGTGGGTTTATGCTTTTTTCTTGCATCACATACTTTAGTGGGTATCAAGAGGGTCTGGGAATATTCCTCTGTTTAAAGGTGTACTTTAAACTTAAGTACATAATACTTAACTGGAAGTCACTGGTCAATGCATTCTTTTGTCTCCATTAGTCTTTTGAAATTCTTCTTGTCAAGGAAACACATTATTTTCATGCTGCCAAATCTAATGACCATGTCACTGTCCTCACAATACTGTCTTTCAGCAATGTACCAAATGTTCTTTCCTTTGCAAAAGACATTAAAAGGAGACCACTCCCTTCTTTTGAAAACTGCTTCTTTTGACCTTCATGATCATCCATTTTTCTAACTTGTCTGCATCATCCACTGGTTACTTCACTCTTTTTTGCTAGTTCTTCCCCTCCTGGGATTCTTTTTTTGTCCTCATCTCTTCTCCATCTACATACTTTCTCTAGTTGATCTGATCTAGTTCTGGGACTTTAAATATCTCTCATATGCCAACAACCCCCACATATTTGTCTCCTGCCCTGATATTTTCCTTTAATTCTAAAGGCTTACTGCACATCTCTACTTGGTTACCTAATGGGTATCTCAAACTTAACTTGGGTATACCATAACTCTTCACCCCCTGCCCCCAAACCTGTTTCTTCCTCTGCTCTTTCCTTCTCTCTCTCATTTACTGTGTCAGCAAGTCCTGTCAGTGCCTCCAGAATGTGCCTCCTTTCTTGGACTACACCAATTACTTTCTGATGGATCTCCCTGCTTTCCCTGGGTCCATTGACTAACCTGCATTATCTCCTGTGGAAACAAGGTAGCCAAAATAATTAATTAAAAATGTCTGTTAAGCCCTAGCTTACCTAAACCAGGAGTCAGGAAACAACATATAGTTAATTAAATTAACCCTGTTACCTGTTTTTATATTAATTATGAACCAAGAATAACTTTTATATCCTGAAAAAATCAAAAGAATATTTCATGCTGCATAAAAATTATATGAAATTCAAATTTTAGCATTTATAAATTAAGCCGTAATGGAAGATAGCTACACTTGTTTGCCTATGGCTGCTTTTGCTCTACAATGGCTGAGGCTAAATGGGCTCATGACATGTGACAAAGATCAGATGGTCACAAAATATTTACTATTTGAATGTTTGCAGAAAAAGTTTAATGACCTAATCATGAATGTAATCCATATTTTGGTCATTTAAAATTTGGTGGTGGGAGTATATAGTCAGCCTGTATTTTCCTTGTGAGAATTAAAGAATACTTCAAAGTACTTATCTCACTGGGAGAAACTCTGGATATTTTGATTGGGCTAAATCTACCACAATTCTAAACAAAAATAGAAAACAGATTCTTCTCATATGAAATCTAAATTCTAAGATAAACTAATTATAAATTTATTTGAGTTTAGTTAAAAATAGACTTACTGGGCCTCCCCTAGTGGCACAGTGGTAGAGCGCTGGGCTGCAAAGCTGTCCACAGCCTCTGCAGCGCTGGTTTGATCCCCGGCCACAGGTGAGGGTCCCACATGGCACGCAGACCTCTCCTGCCACCTGCTGTTCCCCTCAGCAGTGTATTTCATCGGTCTGCCTGTTCTGTTCCCTGCTCTGGCTCTGGTGAATCCTCTCACCCTCCCGCGCTTATGACTGTACCCAGTGCTTGTATAAAGAAATAAATCTTAAAAAAAAAAATAGACTTACTAATGAATCAGAGTGAGTGGCTTCCTTATCTTTCTTGTCTGAATGTTCTTAATTTAGAAATTAGTTTTATATTAGCAAATAAAACATGAGTTTGTACTAATATGTACCTTATATAGCTCAGATTATATCACTCCCTTGTTTAAGATTTTCTGAGGATTTCCTGTTGCCTTTAAAATAAAACCCAACTGTCTACCAAGGCCTTTGCTCTTCTGCACATTCCTCTTACCACCTCCCTAATTTTACAGCCTTTAGCCACATTGGCCTTTCCATTGCCTCACATTTCTATCCTGGGACATTTACACTTGCTCTTCCTTTTGACCAGAATGTTCATTGCAGTCACAAGTCTTTGTCATTTATGTGTCAGCTCCTATATTTTTCTTCAGAGAGGTTTTCCTGGACTGTTATGATACTTCCTGGACTAAGTATCATTATCCAAAATTATCTTGTTCATTTGTTTATTTGTATATCATCCAACTGTCCTCATTAAAATTACCTCTCTTGTCTGTCTTGTTAGTTTTTTTTTTTTTTTGTATTTCTACCTACTATAGTCTTTGAGAAACATTAGGTGCTCAATAAATACCTGAGCAATGAATGAATGAATGACCAGTTAAGCTAAAGGGATAAGAAGCAGGGACAGTTCCCAGAGAAGGGGGTATGGACTAAGTAGGCACCCTGGAAGATATCTCTTGAAATTTTGCTTCCTTTTCCTCACTCTAGGCCAGACTATTCCATGAAGTTTGCAAGTTTATGAAGGGTCATTGTGCAGATATTGAAGGGTAAAGGTGAGGACAGAGATGGGGACAGTTTAGTGGCACAGCTCTGCAAAACTTTTGCTCTGTTTCTCTGCTCAAGCAGCAGTTTTCCATTGTGACATTCTGTAACTTTCCATGCAA